ATATTCACGTACGGATCCGCGAAAATTTTTGGCGGGAAGATGGCTAACTTGGGAAACAGGAAAACCGGAAGGCTGAAATTTTCAGAGAATACTCCTATTACATGTTCAGCTTAAACTTATCAAATTCAGCTCCCGGGCATGCGTGGTTCTCACGTATGGCCCATGTGAAAATTTTTGGCAGGAAAATTTCTAACTCAAAAACCAGAAAATTTGGAAAGCTGAAATTTCAACGAAGTGTCCTCTGTCCAAATACCGCGCAGACAATTAACTTTCCGGACTTCCAGGACCAGTATATCACACATTTCTAACTACTGGGTTTTCGAGCGTCCTCATTACAGCATTCCAAAAACACATGATTGCACGGGTCCGCTCGGTGCTCGCCGCCAATGGTTCTTTTTGCTGTGAATGAATGAAAGTATGCACTAAGAGTTCGATGCAATAATTCAGCTTTTTGCAGCTGGTTGTTACAGGTACACTCTGACTAGACAAACCTACGTATTTAAAGCGCGACTGCTCTGTTTTTTGATGATTTTTTGGCTAGTTCGCCCAGAATCGTAAATCTAACTTGAATTTTGACATAAGTTAATAGTAACGGCTCACTGAAGTTTAAGAAACGATTTAATCTTCAAACCAGCGGAATGACATTAAAGTTTACTCCGAAAATTCAATTTTGCAACCTTCTTCGGTTGTGTTAGATACAGTAAATGACTAAATTTGGGCAAGAAATCCAGATGATAGATAAAAGCTGGCTTCAGCTTGCGATTGATCACACTACTGTGAAAAAAACAAAAAAAAAAGAAAAAACTGATCATCTGTTAGTTTTTCAGTGTTTGTAGTAAGCGATTCAGTCAGCAGCGCAGTCTTTGCAATTTGCGCAAGAAACTTCATCCCTAGCTGGAAACCTTGCGTAAAGCCAGTGAATCATTATTCTGCAGCTCAAATATCCAGTTCTCCACCTCAATCATTTTTCATGATAACTACATCCACATTTTGTTGAATCATACGCATTAGAATTACCAGCAAACAAAAATGTGGGGCGATGCATTACAGGCGTTCCAAAGGAAAGGGCGAAGTAGCCTGACAATGTGCAGACAAATTCCGCCAGCAAATAGGCTGATTTTGACAATACCCAGGCCAGTGCAACAGCTCACAAATTGATTCTGACATCGTACAAGCTTAATTTACAAAGTGAGCAAGAAATAATTTAATCCCGTAAAAAATTTCGCCGAGAAGTTAAAGTTTGCGAGCAGAAAGACTGCGTAGCAGAGGAGCTCACGCGTAGTACAGTATACAGTATATTTCATGTTCAGTTTCACTTCCTCAGAATTTCTTCCCTCATTTTGATTATTTTTTAACATTTTGAAGCTTAATTTTAACACCCTTTGAAGCTTTCTCATCTAATGGGGAAAAACACAACATTTAAATACTTGTACAATCGTCTGTTCCGGTTAAGATAACAGTGGCCAGTTTTCCAATATTTGAAGTTTCGTGTCCCTCAAATTCATTTGTTTACACCTTTTGACAAGACTACAGAAAAGCTTAAACTTTTTACCCTCCGCCGCCACTCCGTTCCATTCGTTTTTCTGTAGGAAACACGAAAATCCAGTTAGCGATGCACTAGGCTTGCCATTGCGATCATGCATTTCTACGCTTAACTTGAATCAATCAGAACTTTAACAGTATGAATAATTGTTGCTTTAAAGTTTCAAATGTACACTCATATTGGCTGCGTTTTGGTCTTTCTTACCCATGGGAAAAAGGGCTTCGGCTTGGACGATAGTGCTGCACCATACGACCGTGTGAAATTTTAACTTCTAGCATGCATGATTAACATAAATTTGGTATGAAAGAAAATCACTAACGACGCGCACCAGGTGGGCCCGTGCGATCGTGCGTTTTTTCAGCATTTCGTGCAGTAGTAAAATCGCTTGGAATCCCAGTTGCTGGAATTTGTGACACACTGGTCCTCGAAGTTTAGCAAGTTAATTGTGAAACTATGTGGTACTTGGACAAGAAAAATTTCGTTAAAATTTCAGCGTTCCAGCTATTCTGATCCCCGAGTTGGCGATTTTTTCCTCAAAAACCTTAAAGAAGCCACACGTGAGAACCATGCATGCCTGGGGGATGAATTTGAAATCATCAAGTCCTACCTGAACGGAGAACATCCTCTGAAAATTTCAGCCTCCCAGCTTTTTCGGTTCCCGAGTTAGCGATTTTTCCGCTAAAGCTTTCACGCGCTCGCACGCGGAAATCAGGCGTGCGTGAAGGTTGGTACGTGAACCTGAAGTAGTACTTGGTCAAGGAACCACTGGCAAAATTTTGGCGCTGCAGCTTGCTTGGTTGCCCGGTTGAAATACTCGAACAGACACATACACTCACAAAAATACACACACACACTCATCATGGGTTTTCACAATATGCGTTTTTGCATTTGCATATATGCAAAAACGCTTAAAACGCATAATATCCAATGAAAATTCGCAGAAAATGCAAAATGGACAATAAACAGGATGTGGAGAGAGAAAGATGATGAAATCCGAAAAAAATGCGCCCATTTCTGAAGAGATGAAACTGAGCATTTGTCATGTCAGTGTATAAGGATAGCCTCCAACCTGAATTAAGGCCATATATGAATATAAAGTGTTCTTGCAAAATCTCAGCTTCGCAGTCCATCTGGTACTGGAAATCGCTACTTCGTTAAAAGTTCTTCGGCGCGCCCTAAAAGCGTGACGCAAGAGAAGAGAAACTCCACTTAGGTATACTAGCCCCCAGACGAAATATACTTATTTCGGCTAAATTACAGCTACAGTTTTCCCATTAGCTTTCGAGTTGGCACGATGCTAACTGCACACTTTAACATAGATGTATGCATGACATAAGTATGCGCGATAGTTGAATTTGAAAGGTTTGGCTTATACATGGAACAGAGAATATTTCTGCAATATTCCAGCTTCCTATATTTGTCGGCTCCCAAAATCATTTCTCGCCAACAAACTTACGTGTTTTTCCCATGCGTCCCTACTTAGTTCTAAACGCAAATTGAGTGTCGGTTTCAAAACGGAGGATGGTGTGTGAGTAGGAAGAGTCAAACGTCAATTCAAAACCTCGTATTCGCTCGTATGAGAGACGGAGGCACTTGGGAAGTAGTCTGGGTGGTAGCAAATGCCAACAGCAACCAACCGCTGACAAGGTCGCCGATGCCTCTCTCTTCTGAGGGTTGCTCACAAGCAAACTGATGGACGGTTTGACTCCCTGGCATATGCCAGCACCAATTTACCATCGAAAGGAATCGCAAAGGGATCGGTATCCTATCGGCAGAGTCGAATTCTCGACCTTCTGCACGATAACAATGCTATCTCATTACGCCTTGCATGCCAGCAGGGTGGCAATATGCTCTTATAATTCCAGCTTCTAGCATTCCCGATAGCTAAGTTGAAAGTGAGTGACGAAGACAGCCTCCTTAAAACATATTTCTGCACTAGCATAAGATGCAAAAAAAGTAATAGAAATGGCGGGTTTCTATGCACTTCAACAATGTTAACGCGCGAAAAGTTCTCGATTCAATAAACCCATGGAGGCTTATCGCAGAAGTAAATGGATGCGGAAAAGCCATCATCGCCTAATTTACAAATATACACGCACTAACTGATTTCAACGCAAAAACCGCACTAGAAAAGAAAGTCGGAGAAATGTACATTCGAAATTTCGGCACTGACAACAAAAAGGTCTGGGAGACGCTATGACAAGATTGACGAAGATTAACAAACTTTCCGTGGGTTTTTATGCGTTTTTTCTGTGCAGCGCTATAGCAGCGCTATAGCGCTGCTACAGCCAGCAAAAACGCATATTGTCG